CTGTTGTAGAAAGACCTAATGAGTTAAAACCTTGAGAGATGAAAAACCCTGTACACTGAGCACATTCAAACAATTCAACCCCTTGGGGAAGAGGCACAGCTGAAGAGACAGTCATGAAAGTGGAGCGTAATACTGAGGAAATTCCCATAATGTAGCATAAGGGGACCTGAAGTGGGGATGTAAGGTACTTGAGGAGTACAACAAATAGCGCCAGTGTCATAACCCTGGTGTCAGAAGGAAAGACGTGAGCGTGATGTCTACTAACAGCTCCAGAAATAAATAACTGAAAATTTTACAGACATGAGAAAAGACCAAACAAGTGATAAGGTATTCATGCTTAAAAATGAAATCCCCGAGAGCTGCAATCTTTATCTTGGCCTTTTGTGGGGGATGAAGGATAAATAATTTTTTTAATGTATATTCTACATCGAATTGTACACATTAAAATGGTTCATTTTTAGCTGAAACTGGCTTGGGTCAGTGGATAGAACTTCAGCCTGCGGACTGAAAGGTCCCAGGTTCAATTTTGGTCAAGGGCATGTACCTTGGTTGCAAGCACATACCCAGTAGGGGGTGTGCAGGAGGCAGCTGATTGATGTTTCTCTCTCATCGATGTTTCTGGCTCTCTATCTCTCTCCCCTTCTCTCTTTTAAAAATCAATAAAATATATTTTTTTAATGGTTGATTTTTATGTGAATTTCAATTCAAGAACAAATCAAGGAGGACTAGCCTGGGTTTCTAAAATTGTCATCACCTTACTTTCCAGGGAAAAAAATGCAAATCTCCATAATGACAAGCTCTCTGGCACCAGACTTCCTCAAAGGAAAAGCCAATATGAGAAGATAGTAGAGGAATACCTCCACGGAGCCAACTGTTAGTGAACATTGTGTCCTGAGCCACATTAATTTTAAGGGACAGCGGTGAACGTGTCCGCAGGGGCAAATCCCTGAGTGAGAAGTCATATCTCCCTCCTTAAACCCACCAAGTCAAGCTGGGTCACCATGAAAGAAGAACAAGTTTGGGGGGAGAGATTCTTCAACCTCCAGGTGTGGTTTTTTGCTCTCGGGAAGTGTGTGTGTGTGTGTGTGTGTGTGTGTGTGTGTGTGTGTGTGTGTAAGTGCATAAGTGTTTTTGAAGAAACCACTGAGGAAGCTTCCTGAACTGGTATATTTATGCTAGAGGCTCAGTGCACAAAATTTGTGCAATGGTAGGCCTTCCCAGCCCCAGATGCCTCTCAGCCCTGCAGCTCTATGGCCCCACCCCCTGCCCACTGGTTATTCTGAAAGGTCATTCCAGAAGGTCGCCCATAAAGGTCGTCCTGCCATCCAGTCTATTCAGCATATTAGCTCTTTATCATATAGGATATTACAAGAGGAGGACCGCCCTGGCCATAGCTAACACCTCTCTCCTGTCCCTGAGTTGCCGTCTTTCACTCAGCAACACGCAAGAAGAAGATAAACCAGGGTTTTGGCTATAATCATGCTGTGCATTAGAGCCCCAGAATTTGCCAATCTTGTAACCGAAAGGTTCAACCTTTTAACCAATCTCTCCTCATGTCTCCCTCCCCTGACCGCTCTATTCTTTGTTTCTTTCTTTTTGACTTTTTATCATATCCCACAGTGCTCAGGTGCAGGGCAATGTTTATTATGTGTACTTACTGTAAACACAAGGTGACACAGACTTTCTACTAACTCTGATGTCTACTTAGTAAACTACATTTGAACATGTCCATTTTTTTAAATAAATATTTTTAATTTCTTAATTGATTAAGGTGTTACATATGTGTTCTTATCCTCCCATTACCACCCCAAACCCTCAAACACACACACTCATACCCTCACCCTCACCTCCCCCCTGTTGTCTGTGTCCATTGGTTAGGCTTATTTTTTATTTATTTAAAAATATATTTTATTGATTTTTTACAGAGAGGAAGGGAGAGAGATAGGGAGCTAGAAACATAGATGAGAGAGAAACATCCACCAGCTGCCTCTTGCACACCCCCTATCGGGAATGTGCCCACAACCAATGTACATGCCCTTGACCAGAATCGAACCTGGGACCCTTCAGTCCACAGACTGACGCTCTACCACTGAGCCAAACCGGTTTCGGCCTTATTTTTTATTGATTTCAGAGAGGAAGGGAAAGAGAGAGAGAGAGAGAGAGAAACATCAATGATGAGAGAGAAGCTATGATCGGTTGCCTCCTGCAGGCTTCAAACTGGCAATAGAGCCCACAGACTAGGCATGGGCCCTGACTGGGACCAAACCATGACCTCCTGGTTCATAGGCCCATGCTCAACCACTGAGTCACGCCGGTGGCTAATACATTGGCATCAAACTTCATTGTCTTAACTTAGAGAGAGAGAGGAAGGGAGAGAGAGAGAAACAAATATTGATTTGTTATTCCCCTTATTTATGCATTCATTGGCTGGTTCTTGTACTTGCCCTGACCAGAGATCCAACCTGCAGGCTTGGTGTATTGGAGTGATGCTCTAACCAACTGAGCTAGCTACCTGGGCAGGGCCTGGCATCCAATCGTTTATCATGTTGTGGTGTCTGTTTTAAGACTTTAGGATCCGTGATGCTATTCCTCCTTGTGGGAAATAAAGGCCCAGAGAGAAACTCACTACAGACAGATTCATAGGCCTTTCGGCATGACGATGATGGCTTGTCTTATTTTTGATTCCTATAAGTATATCTCCAGTAGGACATGTTCTTACTCAACAAGGATAAATGGTGGACAACATAGACGGATGAACAAGAACAGACCCAGAGATAAGGAGCCATGGGTCAGATGGTTGAACCTCAGAGGGAGGGTGGGGATAAAAGGGAAAGATCAATCAAAGGACTTATGTGCATACATATAAGCCTAACCAGTGGTCAAGGACAATAGAGGGGTGGGGACATGAGTGGGGAGGGGAGGGGGATTGGAATGGGGGGGTTGAGGACAAATATGTAATACCTTAATCAATCAATCAATCAATCAATCAAGTCTATAGAATCTGTGTCTACTTTTTCCTTGTCTACTGTGGCTAAGACTTATCAAAACTATAATTACAGTTTTCAAGAATTACATTTTTTAAAATATATTTTATTGATTTTCTAGAGAGGAAGGAAGAGGGATAGAGAGCTAGAAACATCAATGAGAGAGAAACATCGATCAGCTGCCTCCTGCACACCCCCTGCCTGGGATGTGCCCACAACCAATGTACATGCCCTTGACTGGAATCGAATCTGGGACCTTTCAGTCCACAAACCAATGTTCTATCCACTGAGCCAAACCGGTTTTGGCAAGAATGACATTTTTTGACTGTGCTGCTTTCTCTCTATTTTTGTCTGTCCTCACTAGTAAGCTACTCATTATCACATCCCTCGTTCTACCTTCATTTAGAATAATTTGCTATTCATTTTCTAAATACTTGATGTAATAAATTAGGTCTCGGCCTTTTAGGCTTTTCTTTTCTCATGCCTCTTAATTTCTTTTTTTATTTCATAGGCTTGATGCATAACATTTACATGATCATTAATTTAAAGCATGTGCTCGCTTCCTATCAATAATCAGTGCATACGTTGGTTATTGAGAAGTCTGTTGCTTTGATTCCATAATGCAGAGGGATTTTAGTGATCTGTGGTTGCAGAATCAGGCGACTCCCAGGAGCAGCTGGGAGTCCACGTTGGATCTCCAGACTGGCCGGAGCACTAACTGAGTGTCCATGGGGGCCAACCCAGTGCCCTTGGAGCCCCGGCAGGCCCTCTCCCTGCGCTATGGGGTCTGGGCTAGTGGATGGACAGAGCAGCGTACACACTGGATTCATCTAGGGGCCTCACTGATGGGAGGAAGAGGGTGGTGTCCTCCATCTGAGGGCCAAGCAGGTTAGCAGGATGTAGGTTGCATGCAGGGAGATGTCAGAGGCAGCAGCCTGGAGCAGGGGGAGAGAAAGAGAGGGATGAAACATGGTTGGGGTTGGGAGGATCCTAAGGGCCTGGGAAGGAGGGAACCCACCTGAGTGTCCTCTTCTGCTTATCTGCCCTTCTGGTCCAAAACCTCCCCTGCTGAATGGGAAGAAGGAGAGGTGGCCATTTCTGGTCTGGGTCTTGGTCTTGAGCAGTTCACCTCGGCATACGCTGCTCCCTGAGGGCCTTCATCCTGCCTGGTCTGAAGGAGTCAGTGAGACAGAACAGCATCTCCTCGATTCCACAGTAGAAATCCTCCTGTCAATCATCCTCATGTTGCCAGAGAGATGGTTTACACTTTAAATAGACCAGATCCCTCTCCTGGTGGAACCTGCAGGGCCTTCCTGAGCCTGGGGGCTTTTGGATGCTTCTGTGGTCTGACTCTCATTCTGACTCTCATCCTAACGCCCCTCCCCCCCCCCTCTCACTGGGCTCCAGCCTCATGGCCCTCCTCCTGAAGAAGTAGGCCCTGCCTCAGGACCTCTGCACCCACTCTTTCCCTGTCCCCCACCATGCACTCTATCCCCTCCTCTTGCTTTATGTTCCTTCACAGCACTGTGCTCTCTGAGTCACTGTCTGTTTGTTTGCATATTGTCTCCCTCGTCCACAGGTGAGCTCGAGGCGTGTGGACACAGTGTGGCTCAGGACGCCACCGTGGCCCCTAAATGGAGCCGGTAAACAGTGACCCCCTCACATCTGCTGGGTGAATGAATGAAGGGGTCCTGGGGACCTGTGGTGAGTCACTCACTCCTGCCTCCTCCTGAGACCTGGGGATGCACAAGGTCAGGCAGAAGATGAGGGGCCAGCAAAGGGGACCTTGTAGAAGGAGCCATGGGGTCACAAGAAACCCAGGAGGAGTGAGTCACAGCAGGACCACCTGAGGTCCAGAGGGAAGGTCAGTGTGGATGCTGCTGAGAAGCAGGTGAGGTGGGACAGGGAAGGGTCCATTGGATTAAACTGGGCAACAGAAGGTCCTTGGTGGCCTGGACAGGAGCAGGGGTCTCACCTGAGGGTCTAGCTTTATGCTCTCCCGAGACTGCGGGTCCTTCATAGAATCATCTGCTGGGGCAGAACAGAGGGGTGTCTCCTGGCAGGTTTCTGATATCTCAGGGCTGCAGGCCACGCCTGCTCCCAGATGGACCACCAATCCAGGGTGAGGTGAGGTACCAGGTCACACAGGTGTGGTCTCAGTCTTTCTCACCCCTGACCCCACACCCTCCAAGTCCATCTTCTCCCCAATCATGCCCTGAAATCCCTGTGCCCCCTCCCCCAGGGAGCTGTCTTCCTCTCACAGAAGTACTCTTCCTGGGTGTCCACAGCTGGACCGGAGCTGGGGGAGGAGACAGGAGAGTTAGAGACAGAGCTGGGCCATGGTGGTGGAGGTCTCAGGTCTTTGGGGGCAGGAATTACCTGATCTGCTGGCCTCCGGCCTTGCCCTCAGGGGGTGTGGTCCCTGCAAGAAGTTGGACATGAGTCCCTCTCTGGGCTGGTCAAGAGGGACAGTCTCAGCCCTGGGCGATAGGACGCCTCCCCCTGAGATTCCACTGAAAATGAGGAAACCGTAACATACCCAGTATGTAAGTTTCCTATTGCATGGCATTGACAATAATGAAAGATTAGCTTAGATACAAACACCTGTGCTGACATTGAGTGCTTTCTTTCTACATTTTCTGGTTTGAGCTTCTGGAGAAATTCTTTTCCCAGCTGACCTTCTGCATCTATTATTTGGTTTCCTGTGGCAGATGCTCTGAGCCCCTCTCCTTCCTGTGCCCCAGGTCTCCCCGTTCCCTACTCACCCGACGTCCTGCCTTTGCTCTGACATCGGTGCCGGAGGAGGAAGAATAGGAGGAGGGAGAGCAGCAGGACCAGGGCCACCGAGACCCCGATCAGGATGTCCACGTTCCATTTGGGACCTTGGACATGAGTGAGGTCATGAATGAGCCAGTGAAGCCATTGAATGAGCACCTACTGTGTGTGAGGCCCATGCTGGAGCCTGTCACTCATCTCCTCTCACCTCACAGCATCAGCGATTGCTGACCCCACCACCTGCTTCACTGAGGCTCAGAGAGGTTAACCATGTGCCCCAGGTCACCCAGCCTGGATGGGGCAGAGCTGGGACTGGAACCCAGGACTGTGGGTTCCCTGTGCTGTTCTCACACTGCCCCCCAGAGAGACACCAACTTCGTGCCCACGTCTCATCTGGAGCTGAGGGTCCTTCCTCATTATGTGACCCCAGCACAGCAGGGACAGGAGGGGCAGAGTGTGGGCTGGACTCTTTGTCTCTCCGGAATCCGTCCACGCTCTGCAGCCAATGATGCCCCTTGGGAAGGTCGGGCTGGGGGCCCTTATGTCATCTTATCTCCCAGCAGCCTGTGAGCAGGATAGGACCAGGGATGAGCAGACAGGAACCCCACACTCAGAGGACAGAAAGGACCCTCAGCCCCACAGCAGGAGCAGCAGAGCCAGGAGCTGACCCAGGGCTGATTCATCCTGTTCCCTCCCCTCACAGCAAGGATGTCAATAACCTGATTGGCACCTCAATCCATGGATGGGACCAGGATGGGACTTACCTAGGACCAGCAGCTCCAGGGGGTCACTGGGGTGTGAACACACCTGGGGTATGTTCCTGTAGCAGCCATAGCATCTGAACGTACCCCTGTGGCTGGAGGTCACAGGGCTCACTGGGAACAGGGCCTGGGACTGCCCACTGAGCTGTGGCTGTGAGTCCAGGGCCCACGATAGCCTGTGATCTCCTTTCTTAGTCAGAAGGAACCTGCCAAACCCCTCCCCTGAGCTGCACTGGAGGGTCACGTTCCCTCCTGAGGTAACGACCGGGCCAGGCAGGGCTGAGAGGCTGGGTTTGCTGAAGGATCCTAGGAGAGGAGGAGGCAGTGTGTTAAATGGGCTCACACCTCCCTCGTGTCCCCCAGGGCTGGGCTGTGAGAGGGAGTCACCCTGAGAGCAGACCCTCTTCCTGAGGGCAGGACCTGAGGCTGGGACCCCTGAGTGTCCTCTCACCTGTCACCACCAGCTCCAGGGAGTCACTGCGCTCTGACCAGCCAGCAAGGCTGAGATAGTAACAGCGATATATCCCTGCATAGGCCAGTGTTATGTATGGGATGGAGAACTTGGCCTTGTCCCTGGGCTCCAGTGGCTTCTGTACGTCCCAGGGTGCTGGGCTTCCCTCCTTATCCAGATGGTACTCCTGAACCTGCAGGGTCCCCTGACACCAGATGGTCACGGAGCTCCCCCAGGGGATCACAGAGCCTGGCTCAGCCCAGAGGGAGGGTTTGGGGAGGGTCCCTGGAAGGAAAACTGTATCAGGATCACAATACATTCCCCACCCCCACCCCCAGTTCCCAGCTCTCAGCCCCTCGTCCCTCCCTTATATCTCCCATCTGTCAGCCCAGAAGTAGTGTCGTCCATTCCCAGCTTCCCATGGGGTGGCCACTTGTCCTCAGTAAGGAGTGGGACCTGGGACACCTGGGGAGACTCACCTGCCTGCACTGGGCTCCTGAGGCCCACACTCAGCCCTGGAAGAGAGTCCTTGTGAGAGATTTGCCCTGAACCCTGAGCAGCTCCCTCCCTCCCATGAGCTTCCTGAGTCCTGGGGTCCTGACAGACCAGGGCACCCTCCCCCTCCCATCTCACCGAGGCAGAGCAGGGCCCTGAGGACAGGGGTCATGGCGTCTCCTCTCTCTGATCGCAGCCGTGCAGGACAGACACACACGCAGGCTATGGCCCCTGGGAGGCTGGTCCCTCCCTGTCATGGGACTCTCACGTTAGCAGCCCCAAAAAGGGAACAGCCCTCCCAGAAAGCTGGGCTCTCATTTCCTCAGCTGAGGCCTGGTGTGGGAAGCGAACTTCAGCCGCCATTTCTGACCACATCCCAGACCCCATTTCATCCATAAGCTTCTGCTTCCCTGACCTGAACGCCTCTTTCAGCCAAGCATCTATCCACCTTATTCCTTGAGGATTTGCAATGTGCCTGGCCCGGGAATGCACCACTTGAACCACACAGATTCTAGCTCTGAGCTTGCAAATCTCAGATTAGCCAAAACAGAGCAAAACTGCATCTCCACCTCCAAAAATGAGAGAGAGAGAGAGAGAGAGAGAGAGAGAGAGAGAGAGAGAGAGAGAGAGAGAGAATTAGCTCCTTTTGCTGCTATGACAAATAACCATATGCTAAATGGGTTAAAGCAACACAGATTTATTATCTTTCCATTCAGGAGTCAGAACAGGATTCTTTGTCTTTCAAGCTTCACACGTGGCCCACGTCTGGTGCCCATTCGTCCTCAGGGCCAGCAGTGACATCATTGTCCGCTGCTCTCCTCATCACATCTTCTGTCTGGGGATGGGTCACTACTGGGCATGCCCCGTTCAGGGGTGCTCAGGAACCACCCCCAATTCCATGGTGGGCACCTCATGGTGACTTGGCCAAGATGACCTCTGGGAGAGCCCAGTAACAACCCCAACATTGTTTCACACAGGAGAATAATCCTCCATAGAAACGCATAGATTGACTCCAAAATATTAAATGTCTGTGCTTTAGTATTGATTGATTGATTTTTGTTAATCTTCACCTAAGGATATTTTTCCATTGATTTTTTTTTTAAGGGAGAGTGGAAGAGAGAGGGAAAGACAGAGAGAAACATCAATGTGAGAGAAACACACTGAGGAGCCCCAACCAGGACCAGAGCCAGGGAGGAGCCTGCAACCAAGGTAGGTGACCTTGTCCAGGATTGAACACAGGTCCCTTTGGTCCACAGGCTGATGCTCTATCTACTGAGCCAAACTGTCCAGGGCTAATTTTCTGTGTTTTCATTCATCTGTAGTCCACCCAAAACTCTGTATAATGACTTCATCTGCCAGATGCTCCAAACACAATTGGATCTCCTGGGTCACACAGCCCAGGCAGCCTGGACCTGTTGTAAAGATGTCTCTTGTTCGGGGCCCCACCCAAAACCAGCAGCTTCTCAAGACGCTCGTAATGCGGGTGGAGGTGACATGCCCAAGGAGGAATATGTTGTCTCCAACTTCCAAAGAAGGTCCACCAGGAGTTGGGTTTGCTCCTCACTCACAAGAGGGTTGGATGGAGCTGAGTCCTCACCATGGATGGGCTACCTCAGCATTCCTTGGGGAACTGGACCCCCTAGGAATTTCACCCCAAGGCAGCAAGACTGGAGACGTGAGCAGATCCCTTTCCCACTCTCTGGAACACATTGGTCTTACAAAGGGCCTAGATGGTTGCTTATTTCCTGTTTCTGCTGGTCCTATCCACAAGGTACGTAATGAACCTCTGGGGTATCCTGCCTAATGGAAGAGCAATCCTGGTCCCTGCAGCCTAGATTAGGGGTCTGGAGAGTTCCTCGCTCCTAGAGGAAGGCAGTTGAGTTGTTGAAGCAGACTGACCTTGTAGCCATTAGAGATAACACCCAGAGAGGGTTCATGTTCACCAGGAGATGTCCAGGGTTTGCGGGGGGTGGGGGGGTCCAGTTATGAAGACTCCGTTGAGGTGGAAATTAAAACCTGGTACACAAGAACCCACTGCGGCTCTTCAAGGTCCATTTGTCCTCGGCAGAAGCCAAATTCCTCGGGGAGTCACATGGGGATGTGGATGGAATCCCGGTCCCTGTGTCTTCCAAGTCCTCGGTGGTGGCACAAATTGGTGCAGTTCTACCAGGTGGGAAGGGCATCTCCAGTGCCGTTCATCCCACCCCCCAGGCCTTTCTTCTGTTGTATCGCTTGCTCCACAGCTCAGGTGTTGAGGATGTCCAGACAATTGGGGAATTCCAGAACTAGGGAAATAGCTATAGTGCAAGGTTCAGAGACCCAGGCAATCTGCATTGATCACCTCACCTGTTTAAGCCTCCACTCTTGACTGGCAGGTGCCAGTGGTTTGGAGATAACCAGGTGTAATTGAGTATTTAACAGAATGGCTGGGTCAGTCAACAATCAGTAGAAAAGAATCTGCAGGAAATTACAGGTTAGTATTAAATGTTACCAGTGTGGCTCAGTGGTTGAGTGTCTTACCTATGAACCCCAGGAGGCCATAGTTTGATTCCTAATCAGGGTACAAGCCCTTGTTGTGGGTTCAGCTGCCATTACAGGGTGTGTGGGAGGCAGCCAATGAATAATTCACTCTCATCATTGATGTTTCTCTCTCCCCTTCTCCCTCTCTGAACTCAATAGATAGATATGTATCTTTAAAAAGTGGAGACATTGTTGTTGTTTTTAATTAATTTCTTTATTGATTAAGGTATCACATATTTGTCCTCAACCCCCCATTCCAATCCCCCACCCCCACACACACACTCATGCCTCCAACCCCCTATTGTCCTCAACCACTGGTTAGGCTCATATGTGTTCACATAAGTCCTTTGGTTGATCTCTCCCTTTTATCCCCACCCTCCGTTTGAGACTACTCCAACCATAAGACAGAAGAGAAGCAGTCCAGAGATGGAAGACGCTGATGACATCTTGCCACAATAGCAGTCAGCAGCTGTGTATCACTGCAGGTTGCCCAGGACCAAACCAGAGAGGGTTGGACCTGCATTACCACCATTTGCCCACCATCCAGAACTGAAATATCATGGCTGACATGTACACATAGAGAGGATTTTTGAAGTGAAATCCGAGGCTTTTTCTAAAACGACGAAGTGATAGTCATGAACTAGGACTCAACATTTCTCCCCCACGGAATGTGGCAGCCCAGGGGGGTGAGTTCCAGAATTTCGGGGATTTTCATGCCCCGCCCACGCTGTGCAGGGGGATGAGAGGACAGGGCCGGAAAGCCACTCTTACTAAGAGGATGCCGTGGGTAGGCATCCATCGCCCCCAGCCCATGTTTCAACACTGACCTTTTCAAAGGAAGCCGAGCAGTTATTTCGCCACAGGCCAGCCTCTATAATGAGATGCATGACTTCTCCTTTATCAGAAAACCAGTTCTGCCTTTTGTAGACCCCAAGTTCTGCATTAAAGGCCCTGTTCCGGGCACACCATGGAGCGACCGTTGGGTGTGGAGTAGGACATCACCTCGGTCTCCCTGCCCAAGGCATTATGTCTCCCCACACTGCAGGGGCTGTTTGTGTCTCCCAATCCTCCCAGATTGCACTTGGATTAATGAAGCTTAGATAAAGCAAGGGGCTTCTTCTTACAGGCACTGGTCATAGGAGAGTTGTTGAGTGGAGATAACCAGGGGCTGATGGACAGGGGCTGGTTCTGGTGAGAAAGAAGCTATAATAGACACGAAAGAAGAGATTTGTTCTAATGGCGACTCATACTCAGATTCATATTATGCATTTTGGGTGGAATACCACTCAAGAAACATTTTCCTGCCCTAAACGGTTTAGTTCAGTGGATAGAGCGTTGGCCTGTGGACTGAAAGGTCCTAGGTTTGATTCTGATCAAGGGCATGTACCTTGGTTGCTGGCACATCCCCAGTAGAAAGTGTGTAGGAGGCAGCTGATGGATGTTTTGTTCTCATCAATGTTTCTAACTCTCTATCTCTCTCCCTTCCTCTCTGTAAAAAGAAATCAATAATATATATATATATATATATATATATATATATATATATATATATATTTATTTTTTTTTTAAAGAAACATTGTCCTTAGTCTTCATTTTTCTTTTTGCTTTTTTGAATACTATTCTTTCATTTATTAGCTACATCTTTTTGTTTTATTTATTTATTTATTTTTAACTTTTAAGGGTATATCAATTTTTCAATTACAGTTGGTATTCGATATTATTTTGTGTTCGTTTCAGGCTTTCATCACAGTGGGGAGGCATTTATATAATTTACAAAATGATCCCTTCAATAAGCCTAATACCCACCTTAACCAAACATAGTTATTACAATGTCATTGACTATATTCCCAATATTGTACTTTGCACCCCAGTGACTGTTTCATAACTAGCAATTTATACTTCTTAAATCCTTTCACCTTTTTCACTCAGTTCCCCAATCCCTCCTCCATTTCAACAACTTTCAGTTTGTCCTCTGTTTCTAAGAGTTTGTTTCTGTCTTGTTTGTTCGTTCATTCCTTACTGTAGTTGTTGGCATTCAAAGTGAGGTTGAGACTTATTGGTGTGTGTGAGAGTGGTTACTATACATTAATTGTACATCCATTACTTATTTGATTTTTTTTTACTGTTGGGTGACTTTGATTATTGAGTCAGTAAGGGCTCTTGAGTCAGCTTCCCTTTTTGTCCTTCTGTCTCACTTCCAGACACATTCTCCTCACCAGAGCCTGTGTTTGCTCAATTCCCCAAGATGTGCACATTCAAATTCTCCCCTGATATTCAAGGCCTTCGAAGAAATGCCTCATCCTGCCTTGTCCTCCCTATTTTCCATGCAATACCCCCACCAGAGGAGAACAGCTACCATACATGTGAGGGAAGGTTCTTGCATGGCCAAAATTTCACTCAAAAATGGCCACCATCTATTCTAAGTCTTATAATACTCCCTACATTTTTCTCTTTTTCTTGGCAGCAGTCCTGGTTTCCCAATTCATGGAGAGCAATGAAAATTTTGTGAAAATGCAGGAATTGTAAAAATATGTCTGATTTGCAGAAATTATAATACTACCCAATAATAATCCAAAGGTACAAATCAATGAGAATAAACTCTTCCTTCAGGGCAGAATTTCCAGAAGTTTCTTTGAGTGTTGATGAAACCAG